TGTTTTGCTTTTTTAGGTGCTGGTTGTTGTATTTCGTCATGCTGTGGCAACAATTATACGACAGCTCTTACAAATGGTGGTTTTGTTTGGTGTCTGTGACTTTGAAACCAAGATATTCCCATATTACTGATGTGCTGTTTTTGTTTAATATCAATTAGTCTTTTAATGCTTCTAAAGCAGCAAATGCCATCATCTCACTCGTTCACGCTTTCCTGTTTGTTTTATTGTTGGCGGTCAGCATAGTTAAGTTGCGCAATTCTGATTGAGCAGAACGAAAGTGTGCTCACTCAATTGGCTAGCAGGACTGTCACACAGACGGCAGTCATGCATTTGCTCAGAGCGGGGGAAGTTAAATAATATATATTTCATATCACAGCCTCTTGCAATTAGCTAATCACAATGTTTCAAATCACGATTGCGATTCAATTTCGATTAATAGCACAGCCCTACTGCCTATTCATTCCACTGTGGCGACCCCTGATTAATAAAGGGACTAAGCCAAAAAATGAATAAATAATTCACTTACTGGCTGCACAGAGTTAAACCAAAAGCCCTTTAAATAATCACAGAAGTCATGTTTACATAAGGAAACATTGTCTGAAATAAATGTCCTATTAAGTTTTCAAATATTTACAACAATTTAAATATTCTTGTAAATTTACTCAAAGTTTAAATAAAAATATTTATTCACGGCACTTTGAAGTGACCACAATATGAATAGGAACCTTATATTAACCTCAAAATAAACTATTTATTAAAATATGTCAATTATATATGTGTAATATTTAAATATAGATGGTGTCAAAGCAGCTTAACCTCAAAGTTCTAGTAAAAAGAAACTGTGTGAGTCCAGTTTTCAGAGTTGAAGTTCAGTTTAGTTCAGTGTGGTTTCATTTTCACTGCTGAAAGTCCAAACACAGTAGAGCAAATCCATTGATGCGCAGCTATGCAAGTCGCAAACCAAGCAAGCCAGGGGTGACAATGGTGAGGAACAAACTTCAGAGAACCCAGTAGGCCATGACCATTTGTCCTCTAGCCAAACCTCTTGCACAAGATATATATCTAAATTATTTATGTATAATATGCCATATTTAATAAACATATGATATGTATAATGCCTAGGCTCATTCACTCAGAAATTGATTCTCTCTAAACTTCTACCTCAGAGCTTACAAATTTTTGATTGGTCCAAGTCTACTGTGATTGTTTCACTATTTACAACACAGTTTGGAAAGGAAACACCAATTCTCATGTCTACATTTTACAACCATAGCTTTCCCCAGTGCTTGTACCAACAAAGCAGTAATTTTTTCATATATTCAAGCCCACATCCTCATTTTTGCAGGTGGGATTTGCTTTGCACCAAAGAAAACAGTGTCCTCTAGACATGTTGACAACACAAACCTAAAATGTCCAGGCCTCAGCTACAGGCATAGTGTTCAATAGCAAACCAGTTAACACCATAGGCTGACATTGTCACAGTTTATTATACAAACACACACAGGTTTGTGCGGAACGTAAGACTACAATTACTGACAACTTGTTTCAGGCAGTCTAGAAATGTTTCCTTCTTTTGAAAAACAGTACCTCCATTTATTGTGCACACTGATCTTTAAACTTTATACTTTCAATAACAAACAATATAAATCTTTTTAAACTTCAGAGACATTTTATGTTCGCATAACAGCCACATCAACACTACATAAAAAGAATCATGTGCATAAAGTACATTAAAGTAAGTAAAGTAAATAAAAAACAATGAGTTTAGAGTCAGCATGAACTAAAAATGGAAAATATACAGACTTCTCATGTCAGACTTCTACCAATTATATAGGGTAGTGTGTTCACGTATGGCAGGGTTGGTTTGATTAAAAACGATTGCACTATTGCTCTGCTGAAACCACTGAAAAAGATGGGTCTATGTCCAATTTCAAACAAATGATAGTGCACAGTTCAAATAAAATTCTCACGCAACTACAAAGAGATTTAAACGAACCATAATCAGGACAACACATGCCCATAAAAGGGAGCAGAAAGCAGAAGTGTGATTTTTCGGATGGTAAAGGTGTCAGAGAAGCATCACTCAACAGATCTTCGTTTGTTTGTGAACCTGAGGAATTCCTGTTACCGTTTTGTCTCTTGACAATCTAAATGGATTCTAAACTTATAAATCACGCACATACAATAAGCACATTTTGCACAGTGCACAGTATTTATGGTATGTTTAGATATAAAATATATGTTTGAAGACTAGGCCTGTCATGGTATCTATTTTTTCTTGTACGATATGTCGCACCAAAATATATTGCTATTATTGTCATTTTAAGACCACTCATTATATAATGTCCAAATGTACACTCCTCCAAAGAACACATAACATTTTATTCTTAAGAAAATTTCATTTAATTACAGTGATTTTCACAATTTAATAATTAGGCATTATTAGGCATAATTAGGAATCAGAATGTGAAAACGTATATCCTAAATGAATAAATAATAATAAATGTTAGCAAAAAAGTGTCTGCGATACCTGCTACCAGATCTATTTTCAGTTGTCAAATATAATAAAGTAAACTACTAAAAAGTACATATGTTGATTATTGTGACAGGCCTAAATAAGACCAATTAGATTCTGTTAGAAAGTTTAGTTTTGGTCTTAAAAATGACAAAAGTGAAACATGTTTTGTAGTTGTGCAAAATATTTTAATGTTGAGATGAAATATCCACATTACAATTACCTGATTTCACAGATGGGGGAAAAAAAAAACATCAATGTTTACAAAATACATATCGCTCTCATTAAAAACAGCTGAAAAAGCTTGCCTCAAAATGCAGGACTTACAGATTAAGGCTGCATTTACACTGCAGATCTTGATGGTCAATTCCGATTTCGTGACTGTATCTAATTTTTTTGACAACCTGACGTGCATCCAATTGTCTGCATTTATACTGCACAAGGCAAAGGGCCGAAAGAGCAGGGGGAAAAAAAGATTAGGGTTTCATTTTTTTTTTATTTTCTTTTTAACAACTTGTTTAGCTATAGTTTATGACAGAAAGGTTATGCTTTGTCAATATTATTTTAAGTGAGGCTTTTTTTAAACCAGTAGGGATTTTAATGTCATGTCCATAGCGTGATTTTACTCTTGTATGCAATAGATTTATATTAATTCATATTGTTTACATGGCAGATGTTGTGCTCTCTCATTAGCATCCTTAAATACTTGTGCAACATGACAGTATAAAAGCTTTTTTTGTCCTAGTATACACTCACCGGACACTTCCGAACTGCGTTAGTCCTTTGTGGCGTAGATTCAACAAGGTACTAGAAATATTCCTTAGAGATTTTTGGTCCATATTGGCATGATAGCATCATGTTGCTGCAGATTTGTCAGCTGCACATTCATGATGGGAATTTCACGTTCCACCACTTCCCAAAGGTGCTCTATTGGATTGGGATCTGGTGGCTGTGGAGGCCTTTTGACAACAGTGAACTCATTGTCATGTTCAAGAAACCAGTCAGAGATGATTCACGCTTTATTACATTGTGCGTTATCCTGCTGGAAGTAGCCATCAGAATATTGGTACACTGTGGTCATAAAGGGATGGACATGATCAGCAACAGTACTCAGGTAGGCTGTGGTGTTGACACGATGCTCAATTGGTACTAATGAGCCCAAAGTGTGCCAAGTAAATATCCCCAACACCATTACACCACCAGCAGCCTGAACCGTTGATACAAGGCAGGATGGATCCATGCTTTCATGTTGTCGAAACTAAGTTCTGAACTTACCATCCGAATGTTGCAGCAGAAATCGAGACTCATCAAATCAAGCAATGTTCTTTCAATCTTCTATTGTCCAATTTTGGTGAGCCTGTGTGAATTGTAGCCTGTTGCCTGTTCTTAGCTGTCAAGAGTAGCACGCGGTGTGGTTCGATGTGTGGTTCGGTGTGGTTCAAGATTCGATGTGTTGTGCATACCTCAGTTGTAACGAGTGGTTATTTGAGTTACTATCCTTACTATCAGCAAAATGTCTGGCCATTCTCCTCTGACATCAACAAGGCATTTATGCCCACAGAACTGCCACTAATTGGATATTTTTTTTCTTTCTCAGACCATTCTCTGTAAACCCTAAAGATGGTTGTGCGTGAAAATCCCAACAGATCAGAAGTTTCTGAAATACTCAGACCAGTCCATCTGGCACGAACAACCATGCCACATTTGAAAGTCTCTTCAACCACCTTTCTACGCCATTCTGATGCTCAGTGTGAACTGCAGCAACCGTCTTGATCATGTCTACATGCTTAAATGCATTAAGTTGCTGCCATGTGATTGGCTAATTAGAAATGTGCGTTAACGAGCAGTTGGACCGGTGTACCTAATAAAGTGGCCGGTGAGCGTGTAAGACTTAAGGTTTGGGACTCTATCAGGTGAAAATCTGATATACCTGCTCACACTGCAGACGTGAGAGCACAGATCCGATTCATATTGGATACATTTCCACATATTAACAAGGCCTGAATCTGATTTTAATTAATTGAATCCATGGAAATTGTTTTCCAGCTTACACATACATGGGCCATATCCCATGTGTTCCACATAGGAGAAATAAAAAAGGGAATTGGGTCAGTTGAACCATGCAGTGTAAATGCAGCCTAAAAGTATCGTATTTCTTTTTGTTTTAGACTACGAAACCATAAGTGTTAACATAACCACAGCTGATCAACAGTTACTTAAATACGCAATGAATTGATGTTGATATTGACAATTCAGATATCCATTTTACTAAAAACGATGTTTGTCTGAATGCTTAAAACAATCCGTTACCATTTCAATCTGCTTTAATTCAATACATGCTCAATCTAGCATTCAAACAAACATATGCCTAGCAAATTATGGTCAAAACCAATTTTTGAAGTGTTCCAAAAGTACATTCAAATGGGTATTCAGTCATTGGCAGCGATAAGCATTGTGTTCAAAGTGGTCTCTGACAGCTACTCACGTGCATGTTTGTCAGCGAGGGCGATGAGTGTTGCGGAAATGTCTCTGCGGCGGTAGAAACACACCACTTTGGCCTCCACGTTCCCATTCGCCGTCTGCAAAACGGAAAGAGAGTTGTCACAGCAACAGCCGCCAGACCAATCGGCTGCCGTGGAAGCCTCAATATGCAAATTGAGGATCAAACCATAAGCATGACCTAAACACCTCTGCACTTCCTGGGTGATCTGAGAGGTGATGGAGAGAAGATGAGGAACGCAGCCCGAGGGCACGCTGTGATGTTAGACATGACCTGGGAGTGTAAACACCATAAGAAGAAAAGCTGTAGCAATTTTGTTCCAGTCATTTAGATGAAGGTTTTGCCAAGCGGACAATTCAGAAAAATGAAAAACAAATCTAAAGCAAGCTTGTCATGCTGCAAAACTGAAAACCTGAATGATTTTCTTCACTTTTTTCAAGGGGATATTTGAAGAACATTCTAGTCACAATATAATGAGAGTGAGAGAGAACTGCACTACAATAGCATCATCCATATAATGGCTCTGTGTAATCAAAGACATGTATTTAGATATAATAAACTGAAGATGTTTAGATTGTGTCAGCATTGAAAAAGCTAAATTGAATAAGTTCAATTACTGAATTAATAATTCAGACTAAGGGTTATGTAATAATGATAAGCTGCTGAATTTCTGTGTGGCATCTTGGCAAACGGTGCCAGATTGTATAATATGCGTATACTATGGCCCAATCTCAATTCTACCCCTTAGCCCTTACTACTACCCCTCATTATGCAAGTTTACGTGAAGGGGTAGGGGTGTCCCAATTCTCAAGATAGCCCTTGAAACTGGTATTTCCACACTCGAACCACACTTGAAACCAAGGGGTACAGAAATTTCCTGAATACACCATCTACAGTAGCAAAATGGATGCACATACAAGTCTGGAGAAGTACAAATTTAAGAATGTTTGTATGTTTTGGCATTATTAATCTTTTTTTTACAACAAACAAATATATATTTTAATACATTCATAATGATGTTTGTGTTTTACGGTCATGTTTAAAAAAAAAAATAAAAAAAAAGTAAAAAAATTTAATTTTGCTATCTATAATCCATAGTAAAAACTCCTATATAGTAGTCCCACAACATATTTTTACATCTGACACTTGATGGCGCTCGAATACCTGGTCAAAAAATTTTAGTGACTAAGAATTTCCTTTTTCCAATGTCTGGCATACATTTTTTGTGTTTACAGCCGCAATATATCACTAGTGAAAGGAGAGGCGGGCAGTTTTCTGATCGCACATGAGTACATGCGCCAAACAAATAAAGAAATAAGGGAAAGAAAACATCTAGCCTTATAGTCTGGGGTCTTTTTGCATATAATCACCCTTATGTTTCCCTTTTAAATGTAAGGCTGCTGCATAAAATAATAAAGTAGTTTTAATTTATAGTGACGTTTTTTGCTGCGTCCTCCTTTATGTTTCAATAACGCAAAATAATCTTTACACCATATTAAAGACACAGCAGACAGTAAAGGTTTTCGAGAGTTTTTGTCAAGTTTAAAATGTTTGTTTGTGCGCGTTTAGATGCCTGTATGTGTGTTTGAGACCGGGCTAAAGCGCTCCTTCAGCTCTGTTATGCCGCGAGCGGCTTTTTTCTTTATTTATTTTGGAGATAATACACAATATAAATACAACAGAAGGACATACAACTTAACAAAATACGTGCCCACTTTCGTAGACTTTAAACAATATAGTGTCATATCTTGATAAAATAGCTTTAATGAAATATAATTTAAAGAATTACAAATATCGGATAAATATAAAATCATATTAAATAAATAAACCAATATAAAATAAACAAAAGCTAGCTATATGTAGGTAGCCTATATACAATACATAAATCGAACCGTTTTAAAGCCACATATATAGCCTAACTTTGATTTTACAAAGACCTATCTGAAAAAAAAAAAGATTTTCGATATTTTATAAAAACAATTAACACCGGAGAAGGTTTGAAATATTATTTATAAAGTATTTGGATATGATGATATTAATCAAATCGGGCAAACAGAGCAATATTTGGGTGAGTGAAAGCAGAATCTAGCCTATACCTTTTTTTCTGTCACCCAGTCCTGCGCAGCGCTCGCTGCTTTAAACGCATCAGGGGAAGTCCAAACACAAAATGGGTTCTATATCCTCAAACAACTGTTTATGTTTTTATATGACGTGGTTAAATTTATAAATGAAACTTTAAATGAAGAGCTTTAGTGAATAGCTGCCGAACGCAACAAATATGGCTATATTTTATAAGGCTACTCGCTCTTATGCTGAAACACTTAACACGACTAATATCAAAACGAGGATGTTATAAAATACATGCAATATCGAGTTATAAAGGAGAATTTCGGTGGCTTTATATTATGGATGTGTGCGCTCTCTGTGATGGGTCCCTGCGTTCGGCGAGAGCACTCCATGCACAATGCCAGTTGGTCAGCGAGTAAACAAATGTAATGAATGGAAATACACAGGTCTGTGCGTATAGACATTTCATGTACTGCTGTACAGTAACGTGTCATTTGTTTGTTTCGGTTGTCTTCATTTTAATGGTTTCGTTTCGTGATGATTCTATGGTGTGCTTTATCTGAAGTGGGCGGGTTGTGTGACGTTTGATTCGGGGACGTTCTGTGGGCGGTGTTTGCGTGACGCGCTGTGAGCTATTAGCTCGTCAGTGGAAACGCGACATGATTTCGGCCTCATTTCTCAACCTACCGGGCTATTGGCCCGGCCCGGCCCGATTAAAGCCCTGGCTCGCACTGGCCCGATAGTGGAAATGCGGCTACTATGTATCAAGAGCCAAGGGGTAAGGGTAAGAGTACAAAACTAGAATTGGGATTGGGCCTATTTTAGCATTTATCTTAACTTTCCAAGTTTTTGTCATTGTTGTCGTTTTCAGTTTACATTGCTTTCATTGTTTTGTATTTTAAAAGCTGGTATTTTTACAATATATTTTAGGTTTTGTTATTTTAAAGCAGGGTCCTGCAGACCTATTTATGATAGCTTTTTAGCACATTTTGTAATTTACTTCCTATCATTGTATAAAAAAAGTCAACATTTTTTCACAATTGCATTTGACTTTTTTATAATAATAATCAATAGCACAAACAGTAACTGACTGACTTGGTAACTGCCATACTGATTTCACCAAGCAAGGCAAGTTCCTGGATTAACATCTATGTTGATCCTGAAACCACATTCCAATCAGCCAATCAGAATCAAGCAATATGTTTACCGTTTATGCTATTTAGGCTTACAGTTGTGTTTATGCACTTCTACATGATTGTTATCCAACTATGAATCTCCTCTGATTTGGGGAATAAATTACAGTTATGGTCAGGTTTATGGGTAGGGAATTGGTGTGGATTACATTTTCCAACAAAAATGATGTTCCAGGATCAACATAGATGTTAATTTCTGATCGCATCGTACTTCGCAAAATTGAGCCTTGATAAACTTCATTTACATACTCATCATAAGTTGCATGTCAGAAAAGGAAACTCCTAAAATTGAACACAAACCGTCAGACTCTTTTCATTGCAAATGTTTGTCATTAGTAAATCCTAACGGCAGTTTTTAAACACCAAAAGAGGTTTTGCTCAGGAGCACGCTGTTAGTAAATCTGTCCCTTAAAGTATTAAAGGGTAAAAAGCTTCAGTCTTGTAGTGTTAGGCTTTTAGCACCACAGAGATTTGTTTGTTACTCACCTTGTTGAGTTCCTCTATTCGCCTGATCAGCAGTGGGTTACTGGAGGAGTTTTCGAAATAAACATAATCTGTGAGGAGAGAAAGAAACAAGCGTTAGTGTTTGCACACCTCCAGTCTGTCAGCGACAGGCAACAACTCCTGTCAGGCTCCCACACCTGCTGAAGCTTACCGGACTGTTTCAGAGACTAAACACAGTATTCTCAGCCGGCTACATGACAGGAGCGCCTCAGCGTTTTGGCAAGTTCCCCAATGACAACGCTTGAAAACAAATGCCATGACACTGCGAAATGCTATGGAGTTTGTAACTCAACCTCATAGACAACCTTCAGTGTCCACTTTTGACTGACAACAAACAACACCAGTATTAGGAGTGTCACGAGCAAAATAGATCATTAATCTCAAACAAGATCAACAAAATGCTGATTTTCTTTAGAAAATGCATCCATAATACAACTGAAATGCACAACACTTAATAGCAGATTTTTAATAGTGGAATAAAAGTTAGCGTCACGTTTCGAATTGAAACTTTCTTATTCAAATCTGGAAATGAATAACCTTGGTATTGTATTTGTTTACAAGTAGTTTGCTTGTTTAGTTTCAATTTAAATAAAAAAACTGTCCAACTAATATTGTTAAACATAATAAAGAAAAAAAAAACTAAAGATTTGTTTTCTAAAAAAAAAAAAAAAAAAAACCTGACACAACCAGTGATGCAACGGACTTTAGATTTTAAAAAAGACTGTATAACTAGCTTAAGAAATATTTGTTGAAGTTTACTTTGGAGATCGAATTTGAATTTTGATCTCAAACAATTATTCATTAATTCATTTTCTTGTCGGCTTAGTCCCTTTATTAATCTGGGGTCGCCACAGCGGAATGAACCGCCAACTTATCCTGCAAGTTTTTACACAGCGGATGCCCTTCCAGGCGCAACCCATCTCTGGGGAACATCCACACACACAATCACACTCACACTCATACACTACGGACAATTTAGCCTACCCAATTCACCTGTACCGCATGTCTTTGGACTTTGGGGAAAACAGAGCACCCGGAGGAAACCCACGCGAACGCAAGGAGAACATGCAAACTCCACACAGACACGCCAACCAAGCCGAGAATCGAACCAGTGACCTTCTTGCTGTGAGGCGACAGCACTACCTACTGCGCTACTGCTTCGCCCTCAAACAATTATAAAAAAAATTAATTGTTCGTCCAGAAATCTGTTTCACATGGAAATTAGTGTGAAAAAAGGCAGATCTAATGTGACTTTTGCAGCATGAGATGAGCTTCATCTATTGAACTGTATATGATTCTTTCAAGTTTTAATTTTTTAAATGAAAAGGAAATCATGCTGTTTTGTGCTTGTGCTCAGCCTCAGAGATAAACAGAACATGCACATGTAAAATCATCATTTGGTGAATCAAGGCAAGTTCAATTCTTACATTGAAGATGCTTAAAGCACAGTTTGTTTGTATTTATTTTTATTTGTATGCACAGTTTCTATTGTATTTATTCCTTTCCCATAATTGTGAGAATTGTTTGTTTGTTGGATTATTCTTTTGGCCCATTCTGATGCAGTATTGTTCATTGTGAATTGTGAAAGATCTTTAAAATGAACAGATGTAACAGCAATTATTATTTACACGCAGGAAAAATTTGGTGATATGGCCCAGTGATAACCGTGATTACAGTTATGACCAAATAATCAAGATTATGACTTTTTTCATAATCGAGTGTCACAACATTATCAACGTTTTTAGAATGAAACCCATCCACTTCCCTTTTTGATTTAAGTTCAGAAAAATGATCTCTACATTACGCTATAACATTCACGCTCCGTGGGCATGTGCATATTTTGATAGCATCTACAGTATGATTGCAGTCTACCTCTAATGTAACTGGTCAATTGACGAATCAAGGTGTCTTTATCATTTTCAAAATGCACCGTTTTCGAAGGTCAAAGATGCCGAAGTAGTTTGGATACCAGGAACAATCATAACCATGTGCTTTTTAAAAGAGAATGCACTAGTGTAAATGACACCTTAACCCTTGTGTGCTGTTGGGGATGTTTTCCTCCACTCTGGGGTGATTCTGAGTGTTAATTTGGCCATAACTTCCTCTGTGCTTCAGCAAATGAAATTATTTTTTGTGACAACTTACTGACACATATTTTGAGAAAATGCTGTGAAAATGTAACAATCCATTCTGGGCAAATCGACTACACTTTCGTTATGTTCTTGGCTGTTTTTGACCCATTGACTTCCATTATAATGACATTTTTTGATACCAAAGCCATGACACCATATATGATAGATGTTTTTGTTTATTAATTAAGATGTGCACTCCCACATGCATTTAAAGTTTACCGAATTTTTTGTACTTTCAACTTGACAATGACACGATTTATAATTTCGACCCTTTATTTACTTGTAAATCATAGCAATGTTTCGTGTCATTGGCCCTCCAACCAGTGCGTTCAGTTCGTTCTTCTTGTGTGTCAACCCTCCTTCCCCACCGTATTTGTGTGTCTGTGTAGTGTGCGTGTGCTTTTGGCCTTGCTCCAGGGCGTGTGGGTTCTGTGCAGGCTTACAGCTCTGTGGGACGTCCCCCGCAGGCCTCAGGCTTGGTGGGGTGCCTGGTCTTAACCCTGTGCACGCCAAGACCTCTGGCAGATTACACCCCGCGTACAGCAGACAGCATAACAAACACACACACACACACACACACACACACACTGCCACAGTAATCCCATGGTTTTGGTTTGAAGGGGAGAGGAGGGGGGGCTAGAAAACCAAGTCTGGCAAAAACACATTTGGAAACTCTGTGTTTAGTAGCGCAGCCATGTGAGCCCACAGTTCCTGTTTCAGAGAGAAGCCTGTTTACTAATACATCAATTTCAGGATTTTACTGAGATAATAAAAGGCAAAAGCAAGTGTTAAAATTCAGGACAGAAGGAGGAGATTTACAAAAGTTGAGTTGAGGAATACATCACCTCATTTTTTAATGTTTGCCACTTTGTAAGACAGTTGGTGTAGAGATATGGTAAATTATGATAATGATGACATTAAAGATTTACACCAACAATTAGGGCTGAATATGATGATATTTTGTTTTTCCACAATATACTTAAATATTTTGTTCAAATGTAAATAAAAGCTGAGAAATAAACACTTTTTCCACAATGATGTACATCGTGTTATTGTCTTTTGGGAGAAGCCTGTGTCATTTCTGGTCAAATGAATAAAACGTTTGTTGACTAAAGTTGAATAATTGGCCAGGTGTGTGAATTATTGCAGGCTTGACTGTATATTAAGATATGAATATGATTTAAATAACTGTATTTGAGAAGAATTCATAGTTTTACATCAATGGACAGTAAATAAAATATAATAAATTAATTGCAAGCATAAATTAATACAATAGAACAGAGATACAAATTAGATGGTGCTCTATTGCTTTGTGGGAAGGATAACAGCATTGAGGTACAGAAATTAAAAGATCAAATGTAAAACACACTGCATAAAGTAGTCAACATTTGAAGTGGATCAAAACCTTTCATCAAAGTTGCCTTAAAACTGTTCAACAACACTCATTCTTCAATGTAAGGATGTCGCCAGGGGGGCTTATTGGTTTCTTTTCTTGTGCATACCACCAGCCACTAACTGCCCATCTGAAAGATTTTTTTCAGCATAGAGGTCATTTAGTCATGCAACTTCACTATTTGTAATGTTACAGTAGGGCTGTGCAATTAATCAAAAATCCGATTTCGATTTTGGCTTCTAACAATTATGAAAAACCTTTAATCGAGATAAACGATTATTGCATCATATACCTTACGCATCATATACCTTACGCTCTTAAAAGCGTGAAAGACCGCGTGATTCTGTGTGTTTGCGGCACGAAAAAACACAGTTAGAAGCATGCGGTCAGCATTTAGTCTCATTCGCACACTGAGACGAGCAGAGCGCACACATCTTAAGTCATTAATGTGAGCGCTTTAATGGTCAAATATGTGTCAAAACGCAGTGTTTAGTGATTATTCATATTCACCCTCATTTGTGTAATAAACAAACACGTTGAGAATCAAAAGACACATGAAAGAGAAAACTAAAGTGACAGCGCGCAATTCCTGCTGCCGCCTGTTTTCATCATTATTAATCAAACAAAACAAAAAGTTTTTCTAACGATGAAGATGCTTAAAGCACAGTCAGTTTTTATATTTTATTATATTATATTTACTTCTTGTTCCTTTGCAGGATGGAAAATAACTGTATGCAGTTAAAGTCAGAATTATTAGCTCTCCTGAATATTAGCAACCCTTTCCCCCACAATTTCTGTTTAATGGAAAGAAGATTTTTTTTCAACTTATTTCTAAACATAATAGTTTTAATAACTCATTTCCAATAAATGATTTATTTTATCTTTGCTATGACGACAGTACATAATATTTTACTAGATATTTTTCAATATACAAGCATTCAGATTCAAAGTGCGATTCAAAGGCTTAATTGAGTTCATTGTATAACAGTAGTTTCTTCTGCAGACAATCAAAAATATATTGCCTAAGGGGGCTAATAATATTGACCTTAAAATGGGTTTCAAAATATTTAAACCTGCTTTTATTCTAGCCGAAATAAAACAAATAAGCCTTTCTCTAGAAGAAAAAAATTAAGAATTTGAGGAAAAATTTGAGGAAATACTGTTAAAATTCCTTGCTCTGTTAAACATAATTCGGGAAATATTTATTTTAAAAAATTCTCAGGAGTGCTAATTATTTAGACGTTAACTAATAATTGTTTTGAATTATCGTGATTACAATTATGATCAAAATAATCGTGATTATGATTTTTCCCAAAATCGAGCAGCCCTGTTACAGTATGTATTTAAATAATGATGGTTAGTTCCTTTAATTGAAAGCTCAGATTTGATTTTCACAATTTCTTTTGAGGTTTACTGTATTTACTGTATACAAGTTTGTTTTGATTGTTCAGTGTTCACACTTTACCATTGAAAGAACTTTGTAGCATCATTGTTTGAGAGTCTCTTTAACACTTATGTTTATTAT